AAAAAGGTCAGAACTTTTATTCATCTCCTCTTCTTCTTCCACAGAATATTTTCAGTACTGAAGCTAAGCAACAGAAAGACATGGAATCTATTTTATTTACACCAGCTATTGTTTCTGCCTTTTTTCTCTGCAGCATTCTTTATGAATTGTCTTATGCCATAACTCTGAGAGGAGACTCTGTTACTCATAGTGCTTTTTCAGTGGAAGAGACTTCTTTAATAGCAGTCAGATCCAAGATAAAAATGCCTTAGAGCAGATATCATAACCAGATGGGGAGAAAAGGCTTTAGATGTGAAATCTGTATTTTTTAAGGCACCTTAGCCTTTTTGCTTCATACTTCTTCAGTTGCTTCTTTTTGCTCTTTCCGGACCCTGCAATGTGGCCTTACAGTACAGCTTTCCTGTATTACAGAACCAAAGCTCCGGTCTGCTCATATTTTCTCTACTTTGCTCTTTTCTCTCCCCAGAAGTCTTTAAAGCACGTCAACTGAATGTCCTGTTTTTTTCCAGTTCTCCTGGTCTGGGAGCAGGCATGATTAGTGTGGACTTGGGTAGAGCTGACTCAGTATTTGAATATACTGATATTCTTGTGTAGAGCACTGGATAGGATATAATTTTATGGAAGATGGCAAGATGGGAATGTTTGGACAGAGCCAGTCCTAGCAGTGCAGGAGACGAGAACAGAAGTGCGTTTTTTAAGTGTTGCTTGTGTCTTGTCCATGATTATTGTGGAAGTCTTACATACTTTAGGAGAAAGGTATTCATAATGACAATAACACAACAAGGGTTCTGTGGTGCACACAGTATCTTTCACTGTACTCACCTGAAAGTGTAATGTCTCTGTGTCTCACTGCATTTCAAAACACGTCAGAAGAAAATGTATACATTTTCACAGTGTGTGTGTTTGTGTGTCTTCACATCCTTCTACAGCCAAATACAATAATGTGATTAAAATTAGCCTGATATACTGTAGGGACTGGGGAAGTCATTTCATTAGTGCCTGTGATCAGCTGGCCAAGGATGAGACAGGAAGCCTGAGAAGAGAATTTGTCCTGCCGTGGCATTGCTGCCATACTTGTGTGTTGGAATGGATGGAGTAGGAACCTTGCTCACTTGAACTCTCTCTGCATGAAGATTTGCCATTCCTTCACACATAGATACAGCCTACACTGAGACTCCCCTGAGGTACTGCTTGTGCAGCACTTGGTACTCATCTTCCAAGGCTAGAGGATAAAGGCATCCATGGTTTATCCAATGGCTGAAAGGAACGAGGTCTGTACTCTTATCAGGTGTTTATCCATTTCCTTTCTGTGAGAACATTTTTCCTTTGGAACCAACAAAACCATTTTTTATTGCCTGAAAACAGCCATCTATTTTGCTTTGTTATGGGCTTAGCAGGCACACCCATTCTGGCCCTTTCTCTTAAACAGCAAAATGCACAAAGGCTTGGCACAGCTCCTGTGTGCCACATCACAGTGCGTTGTTGTTTTTAGATTGCATTCTTGATCCTCATTTGTCTTAACATATCAAGAAATGTCTCCAAAGATCTACTTATAATGCTGGGATTGTGTTCATGGAGTGTTCATTGTGTAGTTTTAAGGAGAAGTCACATGCAAAGTCAGCTCCACACGCAGCCTTGAGCTTATGGAGTGGCAGATACGCACAGTGCGCACTGACAGGCTAAGCTGAGGACCACATGAATTTGGTCCTCCTGGATGGGACATGAGCCAGCAATGTGCCCGTGCAGCCAAGAAAGCCAACTGTACTGTGGGCTGCATCAGAAGAAGTGTGGCCATCAGGATGAGGGAGGTGATCCTGCCCCTCTCCTCTGCACTGATGAGGCCTTACTCGGAGTACTGCATCCAGATGTGGAGTCCGCAGTACAGGAGGGACATGGACCTGTTGGACCATGTCCAAATGGGGGCCACAAAAATGATCCAGGAGATGGAACACCTCTCCAACAAGGACAGGGCTGTTCAGCCTGGAGAACAGAAGGCTCCAGAGAAACTTGGAAGCGGCCTTTCCTTATCTAAAGGGGAGCTGTAAGAAGGAAAGGGATGGATTCTTTAGCCTCTTGTGATAAGACAAGAGGAAATGGTTTCATACTGAAAGAGGAGATTTAGGTTGGATGTAAGGAGGAAGTTTTTTACAACAAGAGTAGTGAGGCAATGGAACAGGTTGCCCAGAGAGGTGGTGGATGCCCCACCTGGAATGCCAACGCTCAAGATTGGGCTAGACAGGGCTCTGAGCAACCTGGTCTAGCTGTGGGTGTCCCTGTTCATTGCAGGGGAGCTGGACTAGATGCCCTTTAGAGGGCCCTTCCAACTCAAACAACTCTGTGATTTATTTCATTGTGAAGCTACTTAACTGCTTCAGGTGTTGTGGAGACATTTAATGAGGGTTTCAGATTTGCTGTATTCTTTTAGTTATTTGTTATTGATGTTTTCTACTGTTCCATGAAGGAGAGAAAATTATTTGTGATTCCAGTTTGGTGCTTATGACTTAACTTGCAATTGCATGTCTTTCTAGAGAGTTTTTGAATACTTTTTTTTTTTTCTGTAGATGCATTAATTTTTAAGTCCTGGGACTTTCTAACAAGACTTTCTAAAGAGCAGAGCCTGTTTCTTCCTTCCTCATCATACACTTATGCTTTGAGCCCAAGGACAACTTGTCAGAGGTTGCTTGACTTCAGTGGTGTAGATGGGAGAACCAGGAATGTCATCGCATAGGAAGGCAAGCAACCAGACAAGCAGAAGAAAGGGTCTGGGAAGAAAGGGAGAACAGGAACGTTGGTACAGTGGAGCTTGAATTTGCAGGGACTGAGTGAAGGGACTCATCATCCAAGGCCAGGATGAGGGATGAAGGTGTAACTATTTGGGATTAGAATTTATGGAACAGGCAAGTGGATGCAAGTTGAGAAAATGGAAGAGAAATTCCAAGTGTGGGAAGAAGGTAGAGAAAGACTGGGAAACTACAGGCAGCAGGAGCTGGTGTGAGAGTGGATGCAAACCTTAGGGCTGGAGGGAGAAGGAAGAGTGACTAGCCCAGGGCAGGAGCCATGGAAAGGTGACATTGCAAATGAGAGAGCCAGGAGGAGAATCTGGGGACAGAACACTGAATTTAGGGAGGAAAAGCGGTAACGTGGGGAGCTGCTCTGTCTCATTTGCTCCTGCTGGTGTTCTGTGGAGACCCTTCCCCTGCCTACCCGTGAGGCAGACCTGCTGGAAGGGGCTGTGTGCTTCTGTGCTTGGAGTATGCGTGTATACGTGTATTTTTGCTTCCACTCTGGCATTCAGTGGCTATTTTGGGTGCATCTATAAGTAAATACCACTCGGCATACCGAGACTCTGGTCTTCCAGCAGGAGCATGCGGTCTGGACCGGGAGGGTTGTTTGTTCCCTCGAGCAGTCGCTACACACAGGCAGTGCCAACAGGACCGCGACAGCAGCGTGCTCTCTGCCTGCCCTGGTTGGCGTCCCACGCTCACCTGGTGCCGGGGAAGGCAGCGTCCCCACACAGCATCCTGCTTCGGGGCGTCCTGCAGCAGCCAGAAGCGTTAGAGATCGTCATGAAAGCAGTTACGCTGTCTGCAGACAGAGCAGCCTTCCTTAAGCATGCCAAGGAAACTGGAAAAACAGGAGCCTTTTTTTTTTTTTCCCCCTCCTGAACTCTTTCAGTGCAACATTAAGTCACTTCCTGTAGTTGCAGGTTTTTTTTTTTTTTTTTCCTCCCCCCCGAGGCTTATATTCCTTTAAGAGGACGCGGCGCTCCGAACGCAGCCTCGTTAGGAACAAACCCGTCGGCGGAGGCTGCTGGCGGACAGCAGCGGGGTCTGGGGCGCGGGGCGGAGCGGCGGCGCTGCGCCTTGCAGCCCCACTCCGTTCCCCGGCCGCCGGCGCACGGCGGTGCGGAGTGCGTGAGGAAGAGCTGCTTTCCAGCGGTGAGAGCACAGCCTATGAAATCGCCTTGCCCTGCCAGGCCGGGTTTGCGCCGGCGTGGGAGTTTTTTTTCCATATGGGGTGAGGAAGGAGCGAGTGGGAGGCTCTGGGGAACTGGTTTGTGGCACACGCAGCTGGGACAGCACGGAGCTGTACCGGAGGCCTAGCGATACGTGGCTGGAAATTTACAGCGTGGGGGCAGAGGCATGTGGCTAATTCAGGTAACCGGAAAGCTGGCTTCTGTTATTCCTCCGCTGCCGCTCATAACTTGCAGCAGTTGTTTTTCTCAAGTGGGACGGGAGCAGCAGGCTGTGTAGCAGCGCTGTGCATAAATACTCAGCCTGCAGAAGCACAGCAGACCTGGTGCAGCTGCGTTCAGAGGGCTGCGGGGACGGGTGAGTCCTGTATCTGGGCTGCAGGCACTTCTGGCTGTAGAACCACTACTTTCTCTCATGGCTGAGAGACTGGGGACTCGGTGCTGACTGGGAGCACTGGTAGAGTTAGCCAGCAAGAGTGAACCGGCATTGCTGCTCCTGCAGCTGTGATTCTCCAGGCAGTAGAACAACTGCAGATCTGTCTGACATCTAATGGCACCAGAGAGGGTTGGAGTTCTTGTTCCCGCAGCCTATGTGAATGTGCCCTCTGGACAAGTTGGCCTCCGGATGAGTCACGCAGTGCAGCGTGCTCCTCGGGTCTCCATCTGGTGGCATACTGTGTGTGAAGGTGGTGTTGCACGGGAATGCTGGAGGGAGTCGGGGAGTGATCACTTCCATTTGTGTGTCACTTGCTGTACGGCTCCGGTAGCAGAAGCTATCAGTGTGTACATGTACATATGTGTACTTGTGTGCACTTCGCAGCATTTGAAATACCATTCATTAGCTTTTAGGAAGTTAAACGAGATGTAGTGCTGAGGGTAAATCAGCAGGATGCTGTTTTGCTCTGAGCTGCAGCTGTGTTTCTGCCTCTAGTGCTGTGGGCACCCATCCTGGTGTATTTGTGTCACTGCCTACTTTACTGAGACGTAGTTTCTTACCCATGTGCTCATTTTGTTTCTTTTCTTCCAGAAAAAGAGGAAGTTATTATAAATGGAAAAGATGAAAATGAACGGAAATACCCCTATTTTGTGGAAACACCTTACGGCTACCAGCTAGACTTGGATTTTCTGAAGTACGTGGACGATATACAGAAGGGGAATACCATTAAGAAATTAAACATCCAAAAGAAGAGGAAAGCAGTACCAGCCTCCACAAGTACCAAGAACTCTGGTGGCCATTGTGGCGACTGGACTTCCACAGAGTCTCTGTCTTCTTCGAACAGTGATGAGAACAAGCAGTCTTTCTTGGCAACAAGGAGTCAAGTAACCTCATCTGTGGCTGTGAGACCATTGGCTTCCCTTGAGGCATCTCCCTCCTATTTAACCGTCCCCGAGAGTAAGCAACTCCCTCCTCCTTCCCCACAGCTTCCTCGGCACAACCTCCATGTGACAAAAACCCTCATGGAAACACGCAGACGACTTGAACAGGAGAGAATGATGCAGGTAATGCCGGGAGATGTCCGTAGGCCCCGACTTTCCAGCTTTGGGGGCATGGGCTCAACAAGCTCCCTGCCTTCTTTCGTCGGGTCCAGTGGGTACGGTCACTTGCCTCAGCAGCTCCACAATGGCTACCAGGGGAATGGAGACTTTGGAGCCTGCTTTGGCTCCTCCTTGGGCAGTTCCATCCGGCACAGCCCAATGAGTTCAGGAATTTCCACACCAGTCACCAATGTGAGCCCGGTGCATCTGCAGCAGATCAGGGAACAAATGGCAATTGCCCTCAAGCGCCTCAAGGAGCTTGAGGAGCAAGTAAAGACCATTCCTGTGCTGCAGGTCAAAATCTCAGTGTTACAGGAGGAAAAGAGGCACATGATGGCAGAACTCAAAAGCCAAAGGAAATCCAGTCAAAATGACATGTATGGCTTCAGAAAAAGATCGTACAGTGCAGGAAATGTGGAGCAGTGGGAGCACCTGTCTCAAGTACGAAGAGGAGGAGAACTTTATATCGACTGCGAGGATGAGATGGAGAGTGCGGAGCAGAGCTCTCGGAGGGTAGAGGAGTTCAGGCAGTTGACTGCTGAAATGCAGGCTCTGGAGAAAAAAATCCAGGACAGCAACTATGAGGTTCCATCGAACCTTAAAGAAAGCCTGACAAAAGAAAGCCGATCTGTTGCTGTTGGTGCTGATGAAAACATGAATGATGTGGTTATCTACAACAGATCTTCAAGGCAACACAGAGAAGTAGCTGTGGGGACAGAGAAAGAAATGAGAGAGTCTGGGGTTGGGGTGACGGAGGCCATGCTTGGCTTGTCAACAGAAGTTGAGAAAGAAATAGAGCTTCAGCAGCAGACCATTGAAGCCCTTAAGGAAAAGATTTACAGGCTGGAGGTGCAGTTAAAGGAGACAACATACGACAGGGAGATGACCAAATTAAAACAGGAGCTGCAGGCGGCTGGATCTAGAAAAAAAGTAGATAAAGCCGTGATGGCTCAGCCTTTTGTCATCAGCAGAATGGTGGAGGCTGTGGTACAAATGAGAGACCAAATGGTGGGTGACCATGTGCATGTTGCTGATTCATCTGTAGGCAGCCATTTGGAAATGAGCAGCGTGGGCACCTCCTGCAGGCCAGCGGTACGGAGCATAGCGGTGGGCCCTGAGCTGCTCATGAGCCGCTGGCTGGTGAGGGAGAGGGCAGAGATGCGAGATCAGTGCACGGGGAGGTGCGTAGAGCTGCTCGACAAGAAGGTGGGTGTGGAGACCAGCGTCTGCGAGACGGGTGTCAACACAGAGGAGTCTGTGGGTGACCTGAGTCTCTGTAGGACAGTGCGGGAGATCCGGGAGACGAGGTCGATCGGCTGCGGGGACTGCTCAGTGGATGTGGTTGTTTGTGCCCCGAAGGAGTGCGTCTCCCGCCAGACGGCCACAGAGACTGTGTGCAGGGCAGAAGCCACAGTCATGGCTGTGCCTTCCACAGCCACCCAGCAGACCAGCACGGCTATGGAGATGGTGAGCCGGTGCACCAGTACGGAGACACCGGTGACGGTGGATTGTGGCACCAACACTGTTCCAAGCAGCCGTGACCAGCAAACCAGCACAGTGAGTGTGGAGATGCGGACCGTGGCAGTTGGGGACGGCCGGGTGAAGGACATACATGCATCTGCTAAAATGCGTTCAGTTGGAGTAGGGACCTTGCTTTCCAGTCACCCTGGCTTTGAAAAACTCTCTGTGACAAAAACCAAAGACTGTGGTGTTGGGCAGATAAACATTAATGAGAACTATCTAGTTGGTCTTAAAATGAGAAGCATTGCCTGCGGTCCCCCTCCCCTGGTGGTTGTACCGACCAGTACCAGGAGCATTGGTGTTGGGGGTGAGCCAGTGTGCGAGTCCGTGAGCGGCATCCTGGAAAGCCCACTGCCTCCAGCTGAGCTGAGGACGGGCTTGGATCACTATATCGAGCGTGTGCAGAAGCTGCTACAGGAGCAGCAGATGCTGCTTGCCGAAAATTACAGCGAATTGGCAGAAGCCTTTGGTGAGCCACACTCCCAAATTGGATCGCTCAATTCACAGCTGATCAGTACCCTCACATCCATCAATTCCGTCATGAAATATGCCAGCACGGAGGAACTGCGGAGCCTGGACCTTCAGAAACAGTGCATGGAGAAAAGTACTGCATCAGGTAAGCTGAGTGTTTGGCGTATGTCTGTGCCACTCCTTGCTAGCATGGTGGGTCTGTCAACTGTAAAAGCTTGCCGTGTAGTGTTGAAGCGAGTGTGTAGTCCTCTCAGATAAAATGCAGAAGGTGGATTTGGTGGACCTTTTCATTGTTCTTTCCAGCCCACTGCTGGGGAGTGGATCTCGAGAGCGGGAGTCAGTTACCCATCTCACAGAAACAAGGCTCTGAAGGGGCAGATGACTGGGTGATTGAGTGCAGGACATACAAGAGAAGCATCTATAGGTACACCACTCAAGGCACGGACTCCATTTTATAACTAAGCGTATCAGAGTTATTGTCTGTCTGGAATGCTGTCTTTGCCTTAAATTTGGAATGCAGTTTTAAAAAAACATGTAAGTCACATTCAGCATTTGTGTCAAGCTAACTTGTTTCCACAGAGTCTGCAGCGTATCTCCCATTTCCTCCATTTCTTATTCTTCGGAGCCAGGAAGCTGTGGAGTGCTTTCTCCTTTCTAGCAATTGCTTTATAATGGGCAACTCCAGCGTGGCTTCATAGAAACCACATCTTGCATTTTCTCTGTTCCAATAAGTGTTTGTCCTAATCCCTAATTAGGGCCTAATGTTTGAAAGGCATAAAATATAATTACTTTTGGAGGTTTTGGTGACAATCAGGAAAGGCCAGAATTGAGGTTTAAGTATTCCTTCCATTTGATGTATTAACTGTAGAATCCGTACAATTAATTTGAGGGATTTCTTTGTTTCCTGGGGTAATGTTGCGTTCTGTTTGGTTTTTGCTTGATTGCTTGGATTGCTTTGGTTTGGTTTTGTTGGTGTTTCTGGAGGGGAAATGGGGGGGAGAGAAAAGGTCTGATGGTAAATTATAAAAGAATGCTTTGCTGGTGAATCCAGCCACATAACTATTATGTGTATGAGTGTTAGCTTACTGGACATGAGGCTACCAGTGATTAGCAATGACTTAGAGTCTTCTTGGTCTCACTACAGTGGGAAGTTAAGGAAATGGAAAAAATGTGAGCAAACGCATCTGTATGATGGGTGCTGAATTGGAAAAAAAAACTGAGTAACTACTGTATAATGTCAACATAATAATACTGGCTAGCACACTGCTATATAAAGCTCTTCCAGCTTATTTACTGTCTTAAAAGTTACCTGTTTTTGTTAAAAGGCAGCTTGGTACATCTGGTTATTTTCAATGTTCATGTGCTAAATTGAATCATCCATTAATTCTTTGAAGTAAAATGTTTAGCATCCCATAGAAAAGCAGTAAGCAACATTTATGTAGCAGTAAAGAAAATGTATGATACCTGCCTATACAGGTTTAATATGATAACTGTATCTGCAATACTGCTATCCTCCTAGTATTCATTTTATATTTTGGGCTTTTTATAAATAATGAGTATCTACCAAATAGCAAGAATGTCCTTAAAAACAGTGAAGAAGATTTTTAATAGCTGTAAATCCTCAGTTCCCTTCCCCTACATTTACTGCACAGTATCAAATGTGTTGTCCGGAGACCCAAAAGTATTTAGACACATGGAGTGGAGTAATGGTTCAAGTTTTACTAAAGATATTCTTGCTTGGATTCAGATTTCACGTCCTTGACAGAATTCTTTGGAATAATTTTATTTTAACATGTAATGCTATTATTTTTAGTGGCATATGCTGAGTGTAAAATCTCTTTTATTTTTAGTCCCTCATGGGAAGTAAAGCTTTGACTTACTGCATAAATCACGCTTTGGGTTATAACAGTTTAGACCCGTGAAGAATTAGAATAAGAAGAGGTCATAAGCCTGAAATGTTTCCCCATCTGTTCCTATTAATTTTCAAAATACTCTGTTTATTACAGAGTATTATTATTTGAAAATACTCTGTTTATTATGTCCTTTCTGCTTATTTCTGTGGTTTTACAGGACTTTTTTTTTTTTTTTTTTTGTAAAAGGCTTTTTGCTGAATGTTTACTTCTGCAAGCAGCAGTGGAACTAATAAAGTTTGTGCTCACAGATTGATACCATACAGAATCATCTGAGCTCTTACAGTGTCTTTCCACTTGGCTAATGTTTGGGATAGGGCTTTTTCGACATCTTGTGTATGAACTCATCCATCACCTCTTTTTCCATGCCAGGTATCTCAGCCTGATGTATCTGAAGCTTGTATAAATGCAAAAAATTAAGTTTGAATTGTTTAAAGAAACATGACCTCACAAACTTTGGCTTCTTAGAAAAACAGGCTGAACACAGAGGCAGAAGCTGCTGTTTTCGAGTTAGCAGCAGGAGTGTCGTAATTAATGTTGTATTCAAAGAGGTTCCTTACGAAGTGCCTGCTGGAGGCAGGTACATGTTGGGCAAAAGTACTGAAGCTATCTCTGAGGCATATAGTTTTGATGCAGCAGCGTCTGGACAGTTTGCTGCGTTGAAATTAAGAAGTTACGGCTACAGATACAAGTTTGCACATCGGTCAAATTCTGTTCTGTGTACGGATTTTTCTCATTTATCTCTGTGGAGAAAGGCCAGGGGTGCCTCTGATCCCACAGTTCATCAAGGTTTGTGAGCAGTGATGGTAGTACAGGTGATAGAGAGCTGGACCATGTGAAGTGGGGCATGGACTGCATCTGTGACTTCCTTTCCTGGAAGCAGGGGATTATCTCGGAAGTGGGTCTGTCAGCAATCTGTGTATTGCTTGCTGCAAAATAAACATCTTCACTTTCGTAACTAAGCAACTCCTATTTACATAGGCACTGTCTTTCAGAAGCCCTCGTGGTGTCAGGGAAATTAAACCTGCTGCCCAGACAAACCAATTTCCATTCTGCATGGTGATTTTAGCCAGCATTGGCACCAGGTCTGTCCAGCTGTATCATACAGATGTGGGTTACAAACCTCGATGATTACTGATCTTTATTCTTTGTGCAGCCAGACTATGGGTCTAGAAGAGAAGAAAGTGGGCTTTGTTTCTCCATTTATTGTTAAAGACTTGTTTACAAGTTTCAGAAAGTTACATTTGACTCCATGTGATGCATTTTTTAAAACATTAGCTGGAAGCTTAATGTGACTTTAGTTTTTTTATTACACGAACTTTTCACAAAGAAGCCTTGTAGGTGAATGTCTTTCACAGGCAAGTAATTGGTAAGGTTGTTTGTTTAAAGCAACTGTTCTATTCTTGCTGTGAAAGATTTCCAGAGCATATTTGATCTGAAAATGACTGATTCTTGGGCTCAGAAATTTTACATTCATTTTATGAAACAATCACTGGTATTTGCAAGAAAGGAGGCAACTTCTTCAAGTAAAGATTTGAGGGAGAGAATGAAGTGGGTATCGAGTGGTTTTGAAGAAGCTCATGGGGCTTATGTAAACATGACATGCCATTTGGTGAAAAGATCTTCCTGGTTTTTCTACTCTAACTTTCACTGGGAGCTGAGAAGGCAAGCAGAGCAACAGTGGAAGAGTGATGGTATGAGATGCCTTTTGTTGTCCAAAGCTGGTGTGTATCATGAGTGGTACACAGGTATTGAAGCCATGATTGTCTCACTCTTGGCATCATTCATCATACAAAAACAGGAGTGAACTGGAGAAGGGTGTTTTTACTTCTCTACCCTTCTGCATGACAAATTTGTAGCCTTCTGTCTTAAGAGACTGTCCCTTGGTGATCACTAGCCCCAATCCTGGCAGTTTAGGTCATGGTAGTGCAGTTGAGGACTTGAGGCTTGCCTGATTCACAGGGGCATGGGTCTGCACAAGGTGCTGGCATATCACTATAGATCACAGTAATTACCTATTTCTAGGCAACTAAATGAAATCCTCAGCTTCGGCTCTTGACACAGATGCACATCTTAATCAGGTTTAGGTTTCAATACAGATGTGCTTGCCTACCTCCGCTCTCTCTGCTAGGAAGAAAGGGAATGATGTACATGTTTTTAATATTCCATGAAAGGCAAGGCATAGTGCAAAGCAGTCACACAGATGTCCCATCTGTAATCCAGATGAACTGTATTTCTTCACATGTGTCTGTCTGGCATCTCCAGGAATATGGTGCCTCTTGTACGTTTTTCTGCATCTACTGACAGGCTGCTAGCGGCAGTATGCAAAGCTTGAATTCCCATGTCATTTGAAAATGGTAGTGACCTCTGTATTAGGAGTTGAGGGGTTTAGCTGGGTTTTGTTCTGTTTTAAATACCCATCCATTTGTATCAGAAGGCAGAGATCTGGTCAGTAATTGTCCTGTAAAGATATTATTCAAGTTAATCTCCATAAACCTCTTTAAAGAGGTTTGACATGCCATCCTTGGTCATGTGTTAGCACAAGCTTATTGCTGCTATCATTATTATCATCAGAACATTTGCTGTTTTCTTTCAGTAGCAGCATGAAGTGTTTAACTATTTCCACATTTCTACTACAGCTAATAAAGAGTAGAAATTGTAAATGGTAGTTTTGTTTTTGTTTGCTTGTGTCTTTGTTTCTGAATTGCTGCCTTAGAGAGAATACCAGTTTCTCTGCTGAAGTGTCTTTGGTAAAATCCCTGTTTCCTCCCTCCATTGTGGCACAGGAACATGATGTTCTGACGTTGAGCTTTGTTCAGTATTCAACTCCCATGGTAATGGGCACAGCTGTGCGTATTTAATGTGAGAAGATTGCCATATTTCCAAGAAAGGGCTGTCATATTCAAGATACAGTAAAGCATCAGCTGAGAAGATAAAGTGAGAAGAAGGTAAAGCTGAGGAAGGAAAAAAAAAAAAAAAAGAAAAATCAGGCTGATTATTGCTGTGCTCAGCATCATGAGATGGTTTGATCCACCACTTGTCAGAGAAAATAGGGTGTTTTTCACTTTGCTCCCCTTGTTCTGTCCAAATAAGTGTCATTTTTTTTAGTTGTTTAGTTCGTTGAATTAAAGGAATCAGTTTCCAGTTTCAGCATGCCAGCTTCACAACCAAGTGTGGGATGAAAAGCTGCTTCTCAGCATGAAGAATATAGCTGATGTGAGAGTGACAGTGAAAC